AAACAAAGTACTTAGCATGAAGAGAAAACATTGCTTGGGAGTTTTCACATAATATTGCAATTGCTAATGGCATGTGCACACGCATTGATAGCTCCCTGAACAAATCTGTGTAGATGGATCAATGGATTCTGCAAAATATAATCACATGTACAAGCATTATATCAACATATGACGTTCTAAGCAAAATTAAAATCAGATCATAAATTGATGAGCTAAATGAAATTTTAATTATAGATGCCCGTTCTGTAGCATAGAATCTGCACCTTCAGGGAAAAAATAGTTCATACAATCATTGCCAATAAAGAGTTTGGAATATGAACGACTGGGAAAGAAACGAAGAGATAGGTTGCCATATATGGCTTCTTTGTTCCCATGCATTTCTAGCTGCATGATCTTATCTTGATATTCTCATTTTTTTTTTCAATATTCACGTCATACCGTAAAATTATCAGCACACTAAGACAAAGAAACTAACATATTTAATGGGTGTTTGGCAAAAATGCATAAGAGACTCCGAGCATTAAAAGTCGTTTTAAAGATTTAATGGTCATTTATGGTGTGTTTGGTTGGAGGATTTGGGGAGGGATTTGGAAAGGGAAAGGGAAAATATGAGTGAAACTATGTGAAATTTAGTAAATTTTATTCACATTTCACCTACCTTTTCCATTTTCCTTTTCAAATCCCCCAATCAAACACAACATCAATGAATTTGAAATCTCATTTTTACTCAATACATAACTTATTATACCAAAAATGTCCTCATCTTCTTCCTTATTCACACCACCATTACCACCAATCTCTACTACCTCTGGTTGTTCCCAACCACCACATTCGGCTATTGTCCACCTCTACCATTGCAACCCAATCTCTATTGCTAACGATCGATAATAGTCCTGACCGCCATTACTGACAAAGAGGAAGGATTTAGGTTTTCAGATCTAGTGTTTGAAGAGAAGAAGAAGAAGAAAAACAAAGGGCTAATGGTGGAAACATAAAGGAAAGGAAAGGCAATGGAGGTAAAGGTTGTGGACAGTTACGATGAGGTGGAATTAGTGGAGTGAGGAGTTGCAGAGGAGCTGGAGGTGAAAGATAGAAAGGGGGATGACCTCAACTAGAGAGAGACGGTGGAGAAAAGAGGTTCGCAAAGGTGGCGCCAGCGTGGAAAGATGTCAGGGTTAGGGTTATGGTTAGGGTTAGAGTCAGGATTGTTGGGTTGAGGATGTTGGGGTTGGGGTTAGGGTTAGAATTATGATTAGAGTTGGGATTGTTGGATTGAGGAAGATGGGGATATTTTAAGAATTTTTAAAAATTGAGGGTGTGCATTGAACAACAAAAATAAGAAAGTTAAAATTGTGTTCAGTGTATATTTAGGTTTCGTTTGAAAAATAGGTTTTTTTTTTTTTTTGTGACTATTTTAGTCTAAGTTAAAAAGTTTAGTTTATATTAAAATTTTTAATTATTTTATTTTTTATTAAAATAAAAAATAAAATAATTAAAAAATTTAATGTAAATAAAAAATAAAGCAATTACTCCGTCATGTAGACAAATGAAATGATGTTAAAGTGGACGGTAAAACATGTTTCAAAAAAGAATAAAGCTTGAGACCCCAGTGGGGTACTGGGGTCCTCACTGATTGGTCCAAAAAAAATAATTTTTTTTTTTTTTTTTTTTTTTTTAAGTTTTTGGCCATTGCCAGCCCCCCACGTGGAGGTGGGGGGTGCTGGGGGTCCTTCCGTGCTGGGGTCTCCAGCAGGGCTCTTTAGTGGTGTGCAGTGGGAGGATTTGTTGTGTTTAAATAGAGTCAACCCAATCACTAATAGTATTAAAACACGTGTCAAAATCGCAATGGCCCATTTCCGCCGGTCGAATGTCACTGTAGCTTTTCCCGTATTAAAAGTTTCTTTTGCATCTATTTTTTAAACTAGGTCTTATTTTTTAAACTAAGCCTAGTTTGGACGGATCTCCTAAATTAAATCACGTTTTTAGTGTTTGGAGTTCAAAATTTAATGAATAGTGAAAGCGCTATTGCAAAACGCACTTTTAATTAAGAAATCGCTATTTCAAATCGCGTTTTTAGCATAAAAAATTTTTTCTGAAGAAAATGTTATTTGAAATCACGTTTTTACTGTGCGTATAAATTTTTTTTTTCTTTTTTTTTTAGAAAAAGTTATTTCAAATAACGTTTTTAGCACAAACCAAAACCAAAACCAATCCACACTCTCACTCTGACATAGGCACACACCCACACACAGTGAAGCATTGAAATAATATAATTTTTATATATAATAATAATTTATAATAATCAATTATATAATTTTTATAATTTTCATAAATATAAATCATTTTTAGGTTATAGATGGTTTGATTTATAATACGTATGTAAGGGTAAAAAATTTTATAATCAAAAATAATTTTTGCAATTTTTATAATCAAAAATAATTTATAATACGTATGTATTTACTTTAAATAAATTATATATAATACGTATGTATTTGCTTTAAATTTAAATTATATATAATAACGTATGTATTATATATATATATATATATAATTTTTATATATTTACTTTAAATAAAATTATATTTTTGATACGTATGTATTATATTATTTTACTTTAAATAAATTATTAATAATTATATAATAATTATTTTATAAAATAAATTTATTAATAAAATTTTATAATACGTATGTATTATAAATTTTTTTATAATAATTTATAATACGTATGTTATTATTTAAATCTTTAATTTTTGATTTAAATTTTTTACAGTAAATCCATCTTCACATTTTATAATACGTATGTATTATTCAAAAATAATTTATAAAAATTTATAATTAATACGTATGTAAATAATTTAATACGTATCTTCACATTTACATTTTACAGTAAACCCATCTTCACATTTACATACGTATCGTTTAAGGATAAAAATTTTGATAAATGATAAATCAAACCATCCATAACCTAAAATTTTTTAACCTTACATACGTATGGTTTTAAATAATTTTATAAAAATTATTGTCATACGTATGTAAAAATTGATTATAAAAATTGCAAAAATTATTTATAAATTGATTATATCTTATAAATTATTTAAAAAATATACAATAAATAATTAATTATAAAATTATAATCAATTTGATTTTATAAAGTAATCAATTTATTTTACAATCAATAATTTTTATTATAATTTATTTTATAAAAATAATTATTATATATTTATTAATAATTTATTTAAAGTAAATATATAAAAATTATATAATAATACATACGTATTATATATAATTTATTTAAAGTAAATACATACGTATTATAATATTTATAAAAAATTTTATAATACATACGTATTATAAATTATTTTTGATTATAAAAATTGAAAAAAATATTTTTTGATTATAAAATTTTTTACCCTTACATACGTATTATAAATCAATCATCTATAATCTAAAAATGATATATATTTACAAAAATTATAAAAATTATATAATTGATTATTATATATAAAAATTATATTATTTCAATGCTTCAGTGTGTGTGGGTGTGTGCCTATGTCAGAGTGAGAGTGTGGGTTGGTTTTGGTTTTGGTTTGTGCTAAAAACGTTATTTTTCTTAAAAAAAAAAAAAAAAAATTTATACGCACAATAAAAGTGCAATTTTAAATAGTGTTTTTTTTTAGAAATTTTTTTTAGCCTCTGTTTGGCAAGTTGATTTTTGGGCTTTTTTGGCTATTTTAGCCACAAAAGACAAAATAAGCTATTTTAGCCATAACAAACAAAATATCACATCCAACTTATAATCATTACATTCTTCTCTCACAAAAAAACTCAAAAAAACAAAAAAGCCAAAAAGTCCTTTCCAAACCAAGCTTTTAAGCTCAGGCTAAAATAGCTAAAAAAGCTAAAAAGTCAAAAAGCCAACCCACTTTCCAAACGGAGGCTTATACTAAAAGTGCAATTTGAAATAACGATTTCTTAATTAAAAGCGCGTTTCTCAATAGCGCTATCACTATTTATCAAATTTTGAACTCTAAACAATAAAAACGCGATTGATAATAACACTTTAACCTAATTTTAAAAACCCGTCCAAACTAAATCTAATTTGAGAAATAAAATGTAAAACAGGCCTAATATGGGAAAATCCCTTATATATCTCTCCAGTCTCCACACTGCTCTTCTTCACTCTCTCCCTCTCTCTCTCTCTCTCTATCTCTTTCTCATGGACCGCCTCTCTCTCTTCTCTCTCTCCCTCCTCCTCCTCACACCCTATATCTGTTTTGCTGACGAGAAACTATCATCAGCCACCGTTGACTCCAATGACTCCGACGATCTGTTGATCCGCCAAGTCGTATCAGACGGAGGCGATGATCACCTCCTCAACGCCGACCACCACTTCTCTATCTTCAAGCGCAAGTACGCCAAGTCCTACGCCACTCAAGAGGAGCACGATCACAGGTTCTCGGTCTTCAAGGCTAACCTACGCCGCTCCAAGACCCACCAGCTCCTCGATCCCTCCGCCGTGCACGGCGTCACCAAGTTCTCCGATCTCACTCCGGCGGAGTTCCGCCGCAATTATCTCGGCCTCAAGCAGCGCCGGCTCAAGCTCCCCGCCGACGCTCACAAGGCTCCAATCCTCCCCACGAACGATCTTCCAGCCGATTTCGACTGGCGCGATCACGGCGCCGTCACTGGCGTCAAAGATCAAGTATGTAATCTATATTTATGTGTGTGTGTGTGTGTGTGTGTGTGTGTGTGTGTGTGTGTGATGGTGATTTTGGTTAATTGTGATGTTGAATTTGGGGGAATTGTAGGGTTCTTGTGGATCGTGCTGGTCTTTTAGTGCAGCTGGTGCGTTGGAAGGAGCTCATTTTCTGTCTACTGGAGAGCTCGTGAGCCTCAGTGAACAACAGCTCGTGGATTGTGATCATGAGGTTGGTGTTCCTGTTCACCGTTGACTTCAAATAATAGTGCTTTTTTGATCGTCTATATTTCTGATTATTGTTGTTGTTGCTGCTGTTGTTGTACATATGGATGCAATGGTTTTGATTGATGACTTGGTCATTTGCGTTTTGGAATTTTTATATGATTATATATGTATTAATCATTTAATCATCGTGGTAGGTGTTGCGTATTTATTGTGTTTGCTTCTCTCTTTTCATTTCTAAATTTCTTTGCAAATCCATGAGAATCTCCAACCCAATACTCTCAAATAGAGGATGAAAATAATATGCCTCTTCCTTTGGAGTTGCTCTTAGAAGTTGTTTGTATTTTATAACATATAACCAAAAATACAAAAATATATGTCTGTAGATAAAGTTGAAAGGACAGGTTTTGAGGACAAAATTGTTATTTTTAGAAAAATTGAAAATCCTACGTGATTTGTGATTAGATCAAGATTAACTGATTCCAAATCCCAAAAAATCAAAACACTCAACCTAAAATCATCAAACACTTACGAGAGTGATTTTAGTTTGTTTGTTTTAGAGAATAAACAATAAATTGACACAAACGATTTTTTACGTGGAAAAAACCACAATTGAAGAGCCTTCAATTGTAATCAAAAACCACGGGCGAACCGCCACTATCAATCCACTACTGAAGAACAAAAAGATTACAAAGAAATCATACAAATTACCCAACCCTAGTCAATTTGTCTCTGAATCTTCTGTAACTCTTTTCACCACACCTTCGTCACGGAATTGATTCTGAAGTTGATTCCACACCACAACTTCACTTGTCGAATTAACGACTGCGTAGACTCAAACGCCTTTCGGATCCTACGCTTTGATCTTCGGAATCCACCGGAGAGAACTCTCTTGAAACTAAAGAATCAACCTCCTTGATATATAAATCTCAATGCATAAGTTCAGAACTTTCTTAAGAATATCAAGGAAAAAGATCAAAAATCTCCCAAGAAGACTTTAAACACAACCCTAGTTTGTTTTGATCAGATCTAGGAAAAACCTCGCAAACAAAACAACGTTAGCAGCTTTAAATAGGAATCTGAATCGCGATCTCCGCTCGAGCTCAACATAGCCCGCTCGAGCGGACTGAACAAAAACTGCATACGAAGAAACAGAGATGCGCTCGAGCGTAGGAGTTTCCGCTCGAGCGTCAAATCACACCCACCAGTATCTGTGCTTGCCCTGTCAAACTACTGTGACCTGCTAATCTACGCTCGAGCTCAAGAGTCTCCGCTCGAGCGTACAGTATAAAAACAGAAAAACATAGTTTTGAATCAACACAAGATTTTGTCTCCGGATTTGACAACACAGGGACCTAACAATAAAAAATGAATATTGTTATGGAGATATTCCTCTATTTCTCATACTCCCTCTATATTTGGAGGATCAACCCATCCTCTTCCTAAATGGAGATAGTTTTAGAGGATGGGTTTGGACATAAAAATCATTCATATATGAAGATATAGAGGGTGGGTTGGAGATGTTGAGGTTTCATGGAAGAATTTTTATTTTATTTGTTTTGCTTCTATTTTATATAGTCCATTTTCTCCTTATTTTGGTGTTCTTGAAGATGTGGTTGTTGAATTGATTTAACCTAGTTTATGTTAGTCCGGATCCTCTCTAGCCAAAGATTCCCTCCTGTCCTCCTGTCAAGGGCCACGATTTGGCCACGTGGCCCTTTGAAGATCTACGGCTCAGATAAAAAAAAAAAAAAAAAATTTGAATTTCTTCATTTTGACCGAGCACAAAGCTTCCCTCAACAAAGCCACACACCACAAAAAATCCAAAGTTGCGCAAATGAAATCACTGTCTGTTATTCCAATGCCTCTCTTCCCATCTACAAAAACGGTGCCTCCAACAGTTCCACCACTCTGTGAGTTCACAGAAATGAAGCTGAAAATGAAGAAATAAAACCAGATACAAAAACCCATTGCCAAAACCAGAGAACCCATCTTGAAAATTCAGGAAAATTTTGAAGATCTCTGTCACTAATCCATCTCCTAAATGGGTTATGAAAGGGAGGCCATTGGAGGGAAGAAGAAGTTGGGCGGCTACAGAATTTGCAATTGGAGGCGGAGAAGAACGATTATATATATATATATATAATTAGTATTTTTTTTTTCTTTTTTTAAGAAAGAGAACGAAAATAAATTCTATTTTGCATTGGAAAATTATACCAAAGATTTTTGAATAGTGAAAAGTTTGTTGAGAGGCAACTCGATAGGAGAGGTGGTAGAGTGGACCATTAATTTATGATGCTTTGCTTCAGGAAATAGAAAACAGGGGTTGCTCAACTCAAGGAGTCCGGATCCTCTCCAGAGCTTGGTTCACCGTCGATGTTCGCTGCCGATCGTCCTCGATGTTTGCCGTCGACTTCGCCAATCGCCAGAGCTTGGAAGGAGGGAAAAAGAGCTTCGAAGAGGGAAAATGGACTCCTGAATGGGAGGAAAGCTTTGTGCTGGGTAAATGAAGAAATTCAATTTTTTTGTTTTTTTTTTTTATCTGAGCCGTAGATCTTCAAAGGGCCACGTGGCCAAATCGTGGCCCTTGACCGGAGGACAGGAGGGACTCTTTGGCTGGAGAGGATCCGGACTCAGTTTATGTGATTAGTTTTTCAACTCTATGTTGTGCAGATCATCGTGTGCATAAATCTTTATATTTTGAAAGAGGTGTAGGTTGTTGGAATTTTTAAAAAAGATATGGGTTATTTAATGATTTTGTCATGTTCTATTCAAGCGAATCACAAATATAGAAGATATTGTTTATCAAATTCTTTTCCGTAGATAAAAACATAACTTAAAATTGTTCTCAAATATCATTATTAATATGAAGTGGTTGCACTTGACAGTATTAACATGAACTAATTAGAGTATTAATGCTCAAAAACTGTTAGGAAAGAATTGAAAGCTGAGGATAGTGCTCCTCAAGTATATGCACCCTTCAGTGTGAAGGCTTGCCAAATTCCACTATTGGTGGTATTAAGGTTCAATTATCATTAGTAAATCACAACAGCATCATGTTAATAGTCTAAACTAGCATATTTCTAATTGTTGGACAATGCTAATACATTATTGATTTTGGGATGTCTCTTGATGACATATTTTTTAAGCCTTGGCTACCACCAAGTTTGTCTACATGATCGTGGATAATTGGAGTTATTTGGGTACCAATTGACCACATTGGTATGCCTAATCAAGAGCGTTATCTATTTTTGCAGTGTGATCCAGAAGAATATGGTGCCTGTGATTCAGGGTGCAATGGTGGGTTGATGACCACGGCCTTTGAGTACACACTCAAGGCCGGTGGACTTGAAAAAGAAGAAGATTATCCTTACACTGGAAGAGACCGTGGCCCCTGCAAATTTGACAATAGCAAGATTGCTGCATCAGTTTCTAACTTCAGCGTCATTTCTGTTGATGAAGACCAAGTAGCTGCCAATCTGATTAAGAATGGCCCTCTTGCAGGTAGTTAGCTGTCTTTAAGAATCATATACAACCCATTATTTCTATTTTTTTTGTTTTAGCTCCTTGATCTGAAATATACTAATTAGTCTCTTGTTGGGGTTGTAGTGGGAATCAATGCAGCTTATATGCAGACTTACATAGGGGGAGTTTCGTGCCCATACATATGTTCTAAGCATTTGGATCATGGGGTGCTTTTGGTGGGGTATGGATCGGCTGCCTTTGCTCCAATCCGGTTGAAGAAGAAGCCATACTGGATTGTAAAGAACTCGTGGGGTGCAAATTGGGGAGAGAACGGGTATTACTATATCTGCAGAGGTCCAAAGTCTCACAACGTATGCGGGGTGGATTCCATGGTTTCAACTGTTGCTGCTATCCATACCACTACTCAGTAGAAAGCTTACTGTTAGTTTTTGATAATCAGGTAAAAGATTATTATTATTATTATTAGTAGTTGTATTGTGAAAATGTTCTGTTTCATTTTGTTACATTGCTCTTCCTGTAAATATGCCAATTGCAATGTTCTGTATTATGAAAATAATTATTCAGACTGATATCATCTAGTCGTAGTTCTTAGGGCTCCTGTATGTGGACATGCCTGGATTGTATATGTTAAATGCTAGTCATGTATTATATAAAGTTTATGTTGGGATTATTTGTCTACCTTCTGCTCCTAATAGGTGTGGTGGTCAAGCAAGTTCAACTCGTTTGTAAATCTCTTGCATGAACATAGATGATAGCTTATTATGGTTTGTCAATTAATGGTCTTGTTGGTTTTAGTAGTTAAATTAGTTATATTTGGCATTTTGAAGAAGACAAGTTATTCGTAGACAACTTTCATTGATTTGTACAAGAAAAATAATGACATGTCTTCTCATAGTGCCAAATATATATTGTTAATATGGATAATTGATCAAGTTAGTGGAGCTTAACTTGTGCTCAGTTTGTCAAAAATTTTATTAGAGACTATTTGTATTTAAAAAAAAAAAAAAAAAAAAAATTTAAACCTGTGAACACATTTTAAATTTAGGCCAAGTTTGGCATGAGACAAAAAAGACAAAAAGTTAAAAAGTCACTATCCTATTTAAGTCACATTATCTTATTTAAGTCACATCACCTCTCTAACACATCATTTCAAATCCAACTCAAAACCAGTCCATATTTCATAAAAAGTTAAAAAGTGCACTTATTTAGTCTTCTCAAACTAGGCCTTAGTTGGAACTTGACTTAATTAATATATATAAACATGTGCACCAAAAAAATGTATAAAAATGAAATGACAAAATTACACAACAAAAATACAATAAGCTCCAAACTTATGATATAATCACATTTCTTTTTTAGTCAGGTTACAATGATAAAACTAATGCATATAATGATAGATAGACACTGAAATAAATAAAGATAAGTTTATATTTTAGTAGAAAATAGATGACTCATTTTTTCATTCATATGATTAGTAAATTACTTATAAAATTGATTCAAGAGTTATGTGAATTAAAATTTTGAAGGAGACTGGTATACTTACATTAAAAATATGAGTGTAATTTTATAAGTAGTAAGTGTAATTTACTCAAAATCAAACTATGCAATCTCACCTCATTCGGGATCAACTTAAACAAACTAACCCTAAATGCATTTTTTGAAGACTGTCAGTTATCAAACCACACTACCCTAAAAATTTAAGTCCCAATATATTTTTTTACGTAAAAAAAATTATTTTTTGATATCTTAGAATAATGCTGTCTTTAATTTTTTGTAGCACCCAATATATCAGCAATAGTATTGTTCCTTGCAATTAAACAAGTTACTCCTATTTATAGAATCAAATCATTAAATTACAACACTTCTTTTTACAGCAACAAACTGCATAATGTTATTCACAAAACAACAACACACACCAGAAATGCAACATACAATAATCACCCTACAACCTGATCACAGGTGATCAAAGCTCGAGATTAAGGCCAACTGCCACGTCTTCTGACAATTGAACTCAAAAAAGACAACTGGCAACCGACTGGTAAAATCTCCTTAATCCAGCAGAAATAACTAACATCTCATAGAACTAAAATGGAGAGGCAATTGGGTAAAAAAACCCATTTTCTCACACATCCCCAACAATTGCTCATTGTATTTTCCTAAAATATTGCCCATGTGAAAGAATTGAATTTGATCAATCTAAAAAACAATTATAATAATAATCGTAATCAAGCTTTAAGATTATATCATTCCTCGTCCTCACGGAGTATTAAGGCAAACGAGAATGGACAGAACTTGTAGCCGGTCCCTTCGTAGAACTTGTTCTGAAACTCTACCCAGTGAAGCCGCAAGGCATGTAGGAAAGCACTTAGGGTTTCCATTACCAGAAGCACACCGACGGTTGCACAAATAAATACGATAATGCCAATAATAAGGATAATGACATTGTTAAACCTGGAGTAAGACATTTTGTTAAAATTGCAAGACATTTATACCATTGACTAAACATCCAAGAATATTTGTAACTTACCCCCAGGCAAGAAGCAGGACCTTCTCATAAAAAACGCTTGACAACTCTGAATGGGCAAGACTGAAATTGAATAAAAGCCAAAACAACATTAAGCAATGAGAAGTATCATGTGCTCAAGTAACAGGGGAAAAATGAAGAAATGCAGCCAGGAGCGTATGTAAGTCAGATCATGGCCATTTATTCACAAATGATTTCTGCAACTTCTGTTGCAAATAATAGATCAAAAATCTTAAAACATGTCAAGAAATATAATCTAGACTGGACGGTTCACCAAGGTCCTATGAAAGGAAATTTAATGCTTTGGGTTGAATTGCATCATACCAGTGAAGGTAGCTTCTTGTCTAGCAGAGTATATAAACAATTAAATATATAGAAGGCATAAGTTCCTTTCATTCTTCTCGTGCTGAAAGAAAGGTTCCTTACCATCTAGAATGCACAATATGTACACTACAATGCCCAAAATCAATACAATCCAACCAAAGCCTAACACGGCCAAACTCACTGAGGCTAAGAGAATTAGTTTTACTGTTTAGCTAATTAGCCATAGGCTCCAACTATGAAGCATGGTACTTTGCATGGTATTATGTACTGGGAACACAAAACAAGTAGCCAATTTTTTCTTAATTTGTGTCGTAACTTAGAGGTACTTAGTATATATCAAAACCAGAATAGTATTTTCTTCTGTACCGTAGTGAAGTTAGTTTCATTGGTTTTTTTTTTTTTCTAATGTGTAGCATGATACTGAAATTAAGCTTTAGTTTATAAATTATTTAATATAATGACATTTAATTATAGTTTATAGCTTACTTTTGGTACTAAATGTGAATTGTAAGTTGTATATTAACCAACTAAACCATTTATATAAGTTTTGCACTACTCTGAATTAAAAATAAATATTTTTTTACTAATGTATCGAGCCGTATCCCTATAATTTTTTAGATTTTACCATATCGACGTATTCATATCCATACACGTACCCGTACCTATACCGTACGCGTGCTTCATAAGGCTCCAGTATTAGGTTGACCGAATCCAATGCAATAATCAATATTTTAACATCTTTGAGTATTTGTGTAACTTATTTCAAAATTGTAGGACAATCTAAATATTAATTAGTGTGTTTGGTTTGAATTTTTTGGATTAAGTTTTTTAAAAATTGAGTTTTTTAATTTTCGTATTCTTTTGTTTTTAGTGAATATTTTTTAAATTTTAAACATTTTTTTTTACTTTTTTAGATGCGCTTTAGTTAGATGTATCTAAAAAATAAAAAATTTACGAAAAAATATTTTAAAAAATTAATAAATATATAAAAATACAAAAAATATACTAATTTTTTGTTTTTTTTTTTTATATTTTTGGTATTTAATGAATTTTTAAAAGATTTTTTTTACAATTTTTTTACTTTTTAAGTGTATTTATGTTAGGTGTGTCTAAAAAATAAAAAAAATTGCTTAAAATATTAAAAAAATTCAGTAAAAACAAAAAAATACGAAAATTAAGAAAGTAAAATTTTCTAAAAAATATTTTTTGAAAAATAAAAACAAGCAAGCTTAATGTTATTTTTAAAAACCTAAGGTAAATGGCTTGCAAGCAAAAATCCAAGCCAAATCTCTGCAACCTCTAGCCATGTTGTACAAATGCTTCTCCATGAGTGCAATACTTAGGCGGTGTTTGGCATCGGGGTTGGCAGTTTAGCCTCAAATTTAAAATAAATAAATAAAAAAAAAAAAAAATGTAGCCTTTACTGTAGCTGAGGGAGAGTTCAGGCCAGCTGGATGCCATTAACCGGGTAAAAAGACCTTTTTACCCTTCATTGCTCATATCCACAAACCCAAAAGACAACTGATAGCATTTCAACTTAATTAATTTAGAATAATGTTTTAGAGCACTAAATTGGGAGCTCTAGAGCATCACTAATGATGTGGCACAGTGGCTCCCACCAAAGTGATGTGATGTTTTGGCTTGAGTTTTTTTTTTTTTTTTTTTTTTTAAACTCATTAGAGCTATTAGTGGTCCAAAAATTAGTGGGATGAATCACCACTCATTAATTTATTACAAACAACTTTTTGAACTCAACTGCACACATGACAGATGGTGGTAGTGAAGGCAAACCACGTGGAAATCTACCTTTTTTTTAATAAATTTCTGTAAGGACAGTTTGGTCAATTTACATTCCACCATTATTTCAAACACATTTTTCAATACAACTCAAATAAAAATTCTTCCCATCTTTTCAAATATAAAAATTAAAATAACCTACTAAAATAGTCAAAAAATCAAAAAACTTAAAAAATAACCATTTCCCAAACACTCACTTACTCAGACAGATGTAGTTCAAAACTCCACATATTTTGCTACAAATATAAATTTGGGTTATGCACACAGATGTAGCTCATACACAAATTCTATTTGCAATAACAAGTGTCCGTAAAAACCGCATACCTCTGCTGGCACATATATGAAGTGAATAATGAGGTGCAATAAAAATCAATGTTAATTGCTATGACAAATGTGATTGTATTCTAATTTCTACCATATTGCTAAAAAAGTTGTATACATAAAATACTAATTTCAAAATTTGTCAACCTTGGTGGTGTATGAAGCACGGACACCTCTCTGGAGGTCACATACAGGTGCTTGACACGTGTAGCACACAAACACGGACACGTGCCGGACATGCCGGGACACTTGGAACACGTTAAGGACCATTTTTTTCACAAAAAAAAAAAAAATAAATAAATTATTTTTTTAAAACTAAAATAGCATGCCTAAGGTTGATAAATTTGATAAAATTAAATATTTAATATAAAACAAATAGTAAATATTTAAAATATGATATATAATAAATATATAAAATTATATGTTTTACACATGTCTCCAACGTGTCGTGTCCCGTATTTTTCGAAAATATGTGTGTCCGTATCGTGTCATGTGTCCGTATCTGTGCTCATGCTTCTTAGCTGCGGTCTTTCTCTATGCTCAGCTATAAATTTGATTAATGTGAAGCGCACACATAAACTAGCATGCACCTTTCAGCTTTAGGATACACCGTATAAAGTAGTTGTAAGTTCCCAACAGCTTACCTGAGGGCCCATAGACGTAGGTATGAAGCCGTGTTCGAGACAGCTCCAAGTACAAACTCTATGGTATGTATAAGTTGATGTACAAAAACTTCACTGAACTCAAATTCCTCATGGCCATGGGAATCATGATGCGACTCCAATTCAAAAGTGTCGTCAGCGCTGTCAAGGGGTGCGTAAGATTGCCCTCGGTGCCTCTGAGAATTCACATCATTGTTGTAACTTGTAAGAGATGGAGTGCAAATAAAATTCTGGAAAATAATTGAGCTTTCAACCAAAAGCATAAAATTTTGGACATACTTCCTCGTGTTGTTTCTTTAAAAGAAATGGCTTTGGAAACAGCATCCATGGTACAGCAACAAGTGCCAGTAATAGTAAGATAATCTGGCATTATGAAACAGATGAGATGTTTTGGATTAATGACAATGTCTGTCCAGTAACACATGAAAATATTTCATCTGAAAGTATAAGAAGAATTAACAAGACCTGAAGAAATTTCTGGCCAAAAAATAGCTGATTCTCACCCAAATCATCAGTAGGACTCAAGAACATGTATATCATTACATGGTACAGATCAGCTTTAGAACCGATGCACCATTTCACAATAATCAGGAGTGAAAGATAACCAAACAAACTGTTTAAAAATATCATCTGGGGAACAAATTGGTACCTGAAGCAATGCATGATTAATGCTGATTAGAAACTGATTCACTTGATAGTCAACTACAAACATTACGACATTATTTGAGGATATAAAAATTCACATTCTTGCATTTTTCATTCTCTTTTTGCCTCGTATAAAAAGAATCAATCACTTGGGGAACTGAGAATGTAAATGCATTTGAAAACCTTTTTTTTTAAACATAGGCATGTATGCAAGGATCCAATTAAATAGTTTAGCTTACCAGATATTTAGGTCATTTCTGAAGAATTTTGCATTAAAATAGCTTAAAATGATTCCAAGATTCATCTGAGCAACTCCTATAAGGATTGACATCTTCATCTTCAGTGAGTTTAGGAATGGTAATTCACTACGGGTACCATGCCACGTAGGATCCACACCAAACGGATAAGTAGCACGCACCTTAACTAAGCCCACTGTAGAAGCATCCCTGCAAGAGAAGGATGAGTTGAAATTTGCATCCAATTGTGAGATAGTAAATGGATTTAGAGTACTCTTTCCATACCTGCACGACGGATCACGGCATTCATACGCTGAGGGCCCAAATAGTTCAAATGGCATAGAAAAAAATTCATTATATATGAGTCCTGTATATATTGAGAATATTGCCATCATCATTATAACGTATCGTCCACCAAATGTCATCTCCATGATGTCCCCAAGTTTCTGTTGTCAACAAAATCAAGAAAATTGAACTACTACACCATAAACCTGGCAAACGTAATAGACAAAACGAGAAAAATAATCAAGAAGTCAAAATAATTGTTCTTTCCAGGAGTTCTGTTTTAGCAAGGGGATACTTTTCGGCAGTATCATAAGGTATTATGTTTTTCCCCCAAGACTCAAATCAAGCTGTATTTCAGTCAATGGAGGTAAATTGTAAACATGTCCAATGCAAATCCAAAGATGATCACACAATACAAAGGGTATCCACTCAAAAAGATAATAATGAGAGGTAAAACCTTCAGAAATGACATCAAACATGCGAAGTTATCCTAATACAACACATACATGTGTAGTAGGAGAAAGGCCTCCTGGCACATGAATTAAAAAACCAATAGAATATAACCACTAACTGAACTTTAAGATCTCTATACCCAAAATTCTATAGTAATCCCTTTCACACTTCCAAGCGTCAGAATGCAAAGGGTATGCCACTCAATATGTTTCCTAGAGTGGTTTTACAATAAGGTAATGGTAGAACAAAGAAATATTTTTTTTCTTGTAGGTTCATGGTTACATTTTAGACAAACTTTAGACTCCGATATTTACTTCCAGAAGCACAAACAATGATCATATTTAGGGCATGCAAGAAATACAAACATACATTCCACCTATGAAGCATGGGTATGAGTACGAGTATTGGTACTGGTATTGGTACGATACGAGTATATCGACACGGTAAAATCTAAAAAAGTAAGGCATGGATACGGCTCAGTACATTTGTAAAAAAAATATTTATTTTTAATTTGGTGTAATGCAAAAAGTAGTTAAATGGTTTAATTTGTTAAAATCTAACCTACAATTCACATTTAATGCCAAAAGTAAAGGTATAAACTAAAATTAAATGTCATTATATTAGATAACTTACAAGCCATAGTTTAATTCTAAAATTATGCTACGCACATTTTTTTTTTTTTTTTTTTTTTAAAAGAAAAAAAAAGTCCAATGAAATTAATTTTACCTTCATATTAGAAGAAAATACTGTTTCAATTGAGATACGGTACAACTTGGGTATATACTAGGTATGCCTGGATATGAACGAAAAATTTAGATACATGAATCGTGTACCTCAGTACATATGCAGAAGTACCATATGAAGTACCAGTAATTGGTACGGATACGACATGTTTGTTTAAGTACCCATGCTTCATAGCATTCCACACCATAAAAGGTTTAATATTTTTGCTTGAGTAAGTGTTGTGGCAACTATTGCTTTGGTTAGACAAAACATATCCAATGTAAAAGCCTAAAACAAAATCCATGGGTCTCACACCATGCAAGAAATTTTTTTGTCCAATGGAAAGTATCCCATTTAGAATCTTAAGGGTTGTTTTGGTAATTAGCTATTTTAGTTGGCTTTTTGATTTTTACGAAAAGATGTACAAAAAAAAAAAAAAAAAAGGGAAAGAATAGAAGAATTGACTTTTTAGGAGTGACTTTTTGACTTTTTAGCTATTTTAGGTGGTTCCCAAACTTGGCCTCAATATTTGTTCATTGAATGAAAGAAAAGCAGGGGTAAATGCTAAAATTGAAGTTTGGAGAGAAATTTCTCTAGCATTAAGAGGGTTTAGGATAGTAGAACTAAGATTAAATATATGAAACAACTTTAGGAAAATTAGTAATAGAAATGAAAGGATAGTTATTGAAGGCAAAGACGTACCAAAGAGCGAACAATTTCAACACATAAGCTTTGATCATACATATGGAGGGAGAGGTTGATGTTATTGCTACTTATAGAATTAAGGTCAGATGGACTAAATGGAAAAATGTGTTTGGTGTCTTGTGTGATTGACGCATAACCTTAAGATTAAAAGATAAAGTTTACAACACAACAATAAAACCAATCATGTTTTATGGTTACAAAATAATGGAAGATCAAGGAAAATGAATATAGTCGTGATGAGTATGTTGAAGTAGATGTGTAGAAAATAGATAGATAGGGTTAGGAATGAACATACTCATGAGATTGGTAATGACAATGAACAATGACTTTTGTTGCATTCTTTTCTTACTACATAAAACGATGGCAGCTATGTAACATGATTATTGACTCTAGAAGTTGTACCAATGTCATTTAAGGAGATGTTTTTCATGAACTTGGGTTGATTACCAAGCCTCACCCTAATCGATATAAAGTAGCATGGTTGAACCTATGTTACATGGACTCGGGTGTGAGTGTCGGGTGCGGGTGAGTATCTAGAGGTTGGATCCATCAAATCTTAAATTTAAGGGTACGAGGACTCAATGAAAAAGGGTTATATTTTTATATTTTGTTATTTATTATATGAGATAAAATTGTCCTATATGTAACAAATAGTGTCAAAAGGCATTTTACTCATTTTATAACAGTTATACAATAATATATATTCATCTAATGACAGTGTTAAATACAAAAATATAAGAAGTGTCTAATGAAAAGTATTAGACACATCCAACACCCTCATCAAAGTGTCAGGTGTCTGAAGCAGGCATCTGATTTCTTTCAAATAGTCCATGTAACATAGTGTAGGGGTGACCATTGGTTCAATGGTTAAAACTTGACCTAATAACCTTGAGGTTATGGGTTCAAGTCTTGGGGCCACCACTTTGTGCATTATGCCAAAAGTTAGGTGTGTACTCAATCTTTGCTCTCCCAAAAACACATTAATGTGTACGAATTGGGTGTTATTTTTTTATATTTTTTTAGTTCATGTGACAAAGCGTTGAACAACACTAAACTTAAAGTTTATGAGACGTGTTTGGTGACATATTTCATTTGTAGTTTAGTTGATACTATGGAGTGTGATATGTTGCCAGTGAAGGTTTGTCATATCTAGTTGGGATGACCATGGCTTTAAATAGGAAGGTATAAAATTGTGGCTATAATAACTTTCCAAAGCGATGATTGTTAGCTTCACTAACTCGCTAGTCTCAGTTTAAATTATAGTGGAAAGTGGATATCATCATTACTCTTTCAAGCATGGCTACATGAGGATGCAATATGTGTCAGCTAAACATGTAAAACTTACAGCCATTAATCAACAAACTAAGCAGTTATTACCTGACTGGAAAGTTTCTTTTCCCTGAATATGAAATATAGGGTTGCAAGAAACAAGCAAATACCATGGCCCCAATCTCCAAACATGACAGCAAATAGGAAAGGAAATGTAATAATTGTGTAGACACCAGGATTTGCTTCTTGATAATTAGCCACCCTGCAAGTATATTAGATGCATCCGTAAGATAATTACATTTTGCAAATGACAAGAAAACTAGTGAGTTAATTTACAAATGCAAACTATCTTAGTGCAGTGGGGAACTACTTCACAACAATTGGCATTCCCTCAAATATTGCTATACACAAAGCCAGAGATGAAAATGCTATACGGTTTAACAAGCAAAACATGTATAATGGTAAGTTCAGCTAGAATAAAGATTTTTTTGGTCAACTCCAACCAAATTCTCTCTCTCTGTCTCTCTCTCTCATACATGCATGCATGGGCACGTAGTGAGAATATTATGGAATTATAGAAATATGTCAATTAGGTTGATTGTGAATATTCGATTAATATTTGATTGATTATAGATTGATTGTATAGGGTTATTTCCTTTTATAGATTAGGGTTTAGGATTGCTATAAATATTGGTTGTAATATTTGTATTACGTACAATTGAATATACAAAAATCTTTCAGGAATCTTACATGGTATCAGAGCTTGGTACGAAACCCTAACAGCCATCACACTTTGGTCGTTACTTTTGATTTCTGGTTCTCTCAATCAAGCTCTTTGTTCGCGATCGCTCGTTGGGTGGTCACCGACTGATTTCTGATGTTGTCCTTTGTCTCTCTATCAAACTCCTTGGTCGCGATTGTTGGGTGGTTGCCACGTCATCATCCATCGCGACTCATCATCATCCATGACCTCTAGTTGGGTCATCAAGTCACAAGTTGAATCTGTGGTTCTCCGGTCTCTGTGTTTGACTTCTGGTTCGTCTCTCTTAGCGCAGTGAACGTGGAGTTCGTCTCTTAGCTTTGATCTCCTTTAGTTTCTCTTTGGTTTTGTCTCTCAACTTTGATCTCCTTCAGTCTCTCTCTGGTTCTTGATCTGTTCGGTGGTTCTCAGCACTATTCTTAGAATTTGCTTGGGTCTTATACTTAATACCTTATTTTCAAGTTTATTACATTACAACCCTCAGGTTTCTCGTTAGTACCCTTTGCCCCCTGGTTGCCCATTTTGGGTTTATTACACTTCAACCTCTTAAACTTCTGGTTATTACAATGTTTCTAGCTTTTGATGAGTGTGCCTTCTGCCATTAGAGTATGCCTTCTGCCATTAGAGGGGTCATTGGAAGTATTATTGTCCCAAGAAGGGACGTTTGTCTACTTTACCTGTGTCTGCCTCGTCTTCTCAGCAATTTCCGATCAAGTTTTGTGCTCCTCCTCTAAGTACCGTTCGGCCTCTCACTGGTTCTACTGCATTTGCTCCGGTTCCTGATCCTGACTTAGCTTCCTTGACTACTCATATTAGTCAACTTCAGCATACATTGTCTACCTCCCAACTATCCCTGTCTGCCTCCATTGTTTCATCTCTTCATTCAGGTTTGCTTGGATCTTCTTCAGGTATTTCTTTGTCTATCTAACCTTTTGACTCTGGTGTCTCTCATCATATAACTCCCCATCTCTCCTTACTTCAAAATTGTACTCTTCCTCCCTTTCCTATTATTGTCAATGCTGCTAATGGGTCTAGTATGTTTGTTATATCTGTTGGGTCTGTAATACAGTCTGCTATGTTTGCTATCTCTATTCCATCTGTCATTTATGGCCTCGTTTGTTTTCAGAGGTAGAATGGAGGGAATTCATAGTGCGGAGATTAATAGTGAGGGGATTGTTAGTGAGGGAATTGATAATGAGGGGATTAAGTAAAATTGTGTTTGTTTTGATGATAGGTGTTAGTATAAGAATTGTTAAATTATTTTATATAAAATAATAAAATAATAAAATAAATAAAAAATATAAAAAATTAAACATTAATATTTAAAAAAAATTCCCAATATATAAAAAATAAACAGCCATTAATCAACAAACTAAGCAGTTATTACCTGACTGGAAAGTTTCTTTTCCCTGAATATGAAATATAGGGTTGCAAGAAACAAGCAAATACCATGGCCCCAATCTCCAAACATGACAGCAAATAGGAAAGGAAATGTAATAATTGTGTAGACACCAGGATTTGCTTCTTGATAATTAGCCACCCTGCAAGTATATTAGATGCATCCGTAAGATAATTACATTTTGCAAATGACAAGAAAACTAGTGAGTTAATTTACAAATGCAAACTATCTTAGTGCAGTGGGGAACTACTTCACAACAATTGGCATTCCCTCAAATATTGCTATACACAAAGCCAGAGATGAAAATGCTATACGGTTTAACAAGCAAAACATGTATAATGGTAAGTTCAGCTAGAATAAAGATTTTTTTGGTCAACTCCAACCAAATTCTCTCTCTCTGTCTCTCTCTCTCATACATGCATGCATGGGCACGTAGTGAGAATATTATGGAATTATAGAAATATGTCAATTAGGTTGATTGTGAATATTTGATTAATATTTGATTGATTATAGATTGATTGTATAGGGTTATTTCCTCTTATAGATTAGGGTTTAGCATTGCTATAAATATTGGTTGTAATATTTGTATTATGTACAATTGAATATACAAAAAAGCTTTCAGGAATCTTGCATGGTATCAGAGCTTGGTACGAAACCCTAACAGCCATCACACTTTGGTCGTTACTTTTGATTTTTGGTTCTCTCAATCAAGCTCTCTGTTTGCGATCGCTCGTTGGGTGGTCACTGACTGATTTCTGATGTTGTCCTTTGTCTCTCTATCAAACTCCTTGGTCGCGATTGTTGGGTGGTTGCCACGTCATCATCCATCGCGACTCATCATCATCCGTGACATCTAGTTGGGTCATCAAGTCACAAGTTGAATCTGTGGTTCTCTGGTCTCTACGTTTGACTTCTGGTTCATCTCTCTTAGCGCAGTAACGTGGAGTTCGTCTCTTAGCTTCGATCTCCTTCAGTCTCTCTTTGGTTTCGTCTCTCAACTTCGATCTCCTTCAGTCTCTCTCTGGTTCTTGATCTGTTCGGTGGTTCTTAGCACTATTCTCAGAATCTGCATGGGTCTTATACTTAATACCTTATTTTCAAGTTTATTACATTACAACCCTCAGGTTCCTCGTTAGTACCCTTTGCCCCTTGGTTGCCCATTTTTGGTTTATTACACTTCAACCTCTTAAACTTCTGGTTATTACGATGTTTCTAGCTTTTGATGAGTGTGCCTTCTACCATTAGAGTGTGCCTTCTGCCATTAGAGGGGTCATTGGAAGTATCATTGTCCCAAGAAGGGACGTTTGTCGACTTTGCCTGTGTCGGCCTTGTCTTCTCAGCAATTTCCGATCAAGTTATGTGCTTCTCCTCTGAGTACCATTCGGCCTCTCGCCAGTTCTACTGCATTTGCTCCGGCTCCTGATCCTGACTTAGCTTCCTTGACTGCTCATATTAGTCAGCTTCAGCATACATTGTCTACCTCCCAGCCATCCTGTCTGCCTCTATTGTTTCCTCTCTTCATTCAGGTTTGCTTGGATCTTCTTCAGGTATTTCTTCGTCTATTTAACCTTTTGACTCTGGTGTCTCTCATCATATGACTCCCCATCTCTCCTTACTTCAAAATCGTACTCCTCCTCCCTTTCCTATTATTGTCAATGCTGCTAATGGGTCTAGTATGTTTGTTATATCTGTTGGGTCTGTAATACAGTCTGCTATGTCTGCTATCTCTATTCCATCTGTCCTTTATGGCTCCGTTTGTTTTCAGAGGTAGAATGGAGGGGATTCATAGTGAGGGGATTGTTAGTGAGGGGATTGATAATGAAGGGATTAAGTAAAATTGTGTTTGTTTTGATGATAGTTGTTAGTGTAAGAATTGTTAAATTATTTTTATATAAAATAATAAAATAATAAAATAAATAAAAAAATATAAAAAATTAAACATTAATATTTTTTTAAAAAAATCCCAATATATAAAAAATAAAAAAAATTCTAATCCCCTCACTATTTTTCTAATACCATCTCCACCTCCTCCATCTCAATCCCACTTCCAACCTCCATCTATATCACCTCCTCCATCTTAATCCACTCCACAACTCTACAAACAAACACAATACTAAATAACCCCACCTCTATCCTAATCCCCTCCTATCTATTTAACCCCAAAACAAATGGGGCTTATGTTCCTTAGTTATCTGTCAGTTTATTATCTATCAATCAGCTTGATACTTCTGGTTTTGATATTATCTTTTCTTCTTCTATCTGTTCTGTGCAGGATTGGATGTCTAAGCAGCAGATTGGGTCTGGCCATAGAGTTGGGGACCTCTATGTGGTAGAGCGCTTGCATCTGCATTTGACAACCTCTCCAACTGCCTTTTCCTTTTTTCAGTTAGATTCTCTGTCCAATCCTTTTTAGTTGTGGCATTCTGAATTAGGGCATTTGTCTGATGATCGCTTACGATCTTTAGCTCAATCAGCTATCTTGGGTAAAATTTCTCCTAGTGAACTTACTAAATGTCGGGAGTGTAAACTTGCCAAGATGACAGCCTTACCTTTTCGTAAAAGCACTTTTATACCTGATACACCATTTTCTTTAGTTCATACTGATATTTGGAGCCCTTCTTTTGTTCTCACCAAAGGGGTTTCTGCAGTGCATACTATGTGTCATTTATTGATGACTGCACCCGTTATACTTGGGTTTATCTTATGATTCATAAGTCTAACTTCTATCAGATATACCGTACTTTCCAGTTTATAGTCACTACACAGTTTGGGTCTACTATTAAATTGTTGCGATCTGACTTGGGAGGGGAATACTTTAAAACTGAATTCTGTGAATATTTGGCCAAATTAGGTACCATTTACCAAACTTCTTGTACTGATATACCTATCCAAAATGGTCGAGCTGAGCGTAAACACCGTCATCTCCTTGAGACAGCTAGGTCTCTCCTCTCTGCCTCCATTTCGGCTCCGTGTTGGGGTGAGATAGTTCTTACTGCTGCTTTTCTTCTCAACCGTATGCCTACCCTCTTCTTTCTAGTTGGTTTCCTTATGAGGCTCTATTTTCTCAACTTCCTAATTACTCTCTCCTTCATGTGTTTGGGTCTGCTTGTTTTGTCATTTTACCCGTAAAGATAGGACCAAACTTAGTGCCTGGTATGTCTTATGTGTCTTTTTGGGTTATAGTCTTACTCAGAAAGGTTATCGCTGTTATGACCTTGTTTCCTGTTGTCTTTATGTCTCCCGCCATGTTGCCTTTCTCGAACGTCTACCTTCCAGCTTCCTCCTCTCACTACCCCAGTTTCCAAAGAGGATTTGGTTCATATTGATCCGTTTCCTTCTAAGGTCCCGTCTGATGGAGTACATCTCTACAGTTCCTCTTGAGCTTGTTCCATCTTCTCCTCTTGCTTTACCTTTGGCTGTTTTTCCTCTTTCGGCTGCTTCTCCTCCCCCGTTGCTAGTTTATTCTCGTCGCAAGGCTCCTCCTCCACCGGTTGTCTCTGCTCCTACTGTTGATCCCGCTTCTGACGACTCTGATCCTACTGCACACCGATATCTAACTCGAGCGCGTCATCCTCCAAACAGGTTGGGTTGGTCTAATATATGTTTTTTTGCCTCAGATCGTACTTTTTTGTCTGCTATTCACTCTTTTTCAGAACCTTAGTCTTATAAGGAGGCCTGTCAAGATCCTCATTGGATTCAAGCTATGGAGGATGAATTGTCTACTCTACAGAAAACTAGTACTTGGGAGTTGGTTCCTTTGCCTGCTGGTAATAATCCGGTTGGTTACAAATGGGTCTACAAAGTCAAGACTCATTTTGATGGTTTTCTTGAGCGCTATAAAGCTCGTCTGGTTGCTAAAGGTTTCTCACAAGAGTATGGCATTGATTATGAGAAGACTTTTGCTCCTGTTGCCAAGATGACTACTATTCGTACTTTGATCTCTGTCGCTACTATTCGTTCTTGGCCTCTTTATCACATGGATGTTAAGAATGCTTTTTTTAATAGTCATCTTATCGAGGAGGTTTACATGCATCCTCTCCCTGGCCTTCACCATTCCTCTGGACAGGTTTGTCGCCTTCGACGTACTCTATATGGTCTGAAACAGTCTCCTCGTACTTGGTATGATCGCTTTCAGACTGCTGTTACTGAGCTTGGATTTCATCCTTGTGCCTAGGACTCAGCTTTATTTATTCTCCACACTTCTGATGTATTTGTTGCGTTATTACTGTATGTGGATGATATGATCGTCACTGGTTTTGACTCTTTTGCTATATCTGAGGTCAAGTAACATCTTTTCCTATAAGATTCCTGAAAGCTTTTCTGTATATTCAATTGTACGTAATACAAAGATTACAACTAATATTTATAACAATCCTAAACCCTAATCTATAAGAGGAAATAACCCTATACAATCAATCGATTATTGATCGAATATTCACAATCAACCTAATTGACATATTTCTATAATTCCATAATATTCTCACATCCCTACTAAAACTCAAGGTGTTTTAGCAGAAAACACTGAGATGTTGCTAAGAAGAAACTGAAATCGAGCAGTGGTATGAGTCTTCGTAAAGAAATCAGCAAGTTGCAATGCTAAAAAGACGAAAGGAAGCGAGAGGGAACTAGACTGCAAATGCTGATAGACAAAATGACAATCAATCTCAATGTGCTTCGTCCGCTCATGAAAAATAGTGTTATGTGCAATTTGAATAGCACTGCGGTTGTCACAGTAAAGGGAGGTTGGAGAAGACTAATGGACACCTAAATTAGTCAAGAGACAGCGAAGCCAAACAATCTTAGCAGTGGCATGAGCCATAGCACGGTACTCAGTTTCGGCAGTGGAACACGCAACAACAGTCTGTTTCTTGTTCTTCCAAGAAATCAAAGAATCACCAAGAAATATGCAGAACCCAAAAGTGGACTTGCGATTAGTGACATCACCAATCCAATCAGAATCAGCATAAGCTGCCAAGTCCAAAGAGGAAGTAAAAGACAACAGTAAACCCTGAAAGATAGTACCCCGGAGATCGTGAATAATCCGAACCAATGCCGCCCAATGTGGGGTGCAAGGAGTAGAGACAAAACACACAAACAAGCACATATACAAGTGTGCATGCACATGTGCACATAAATTCTGTCTCTCAAATGCACTTTTCCTCCATGCTGAACAAAACTATATACTAAAGAATTAAAACTTGAGTTTAAAAAAAGTTTCTGCATGAGAAGTGTAAGCCCTATATTGTATGATATCCAATAAATTTTCCAAGGGCATATTAGATTTCCAATTATTTGGTACTCTGAAATCCAAATTTATCACTCAATCAGAAGTAAGATTGAGAGTGAAAAATCAACCATAGTCTTTCCATAGCGATGATTGTTAGCTTCACTAACTCACTAGTCTCGGTTTAAATTATAGTGGAAAGTGGATATCATCATTACTCACCCATAAGCATCTACAATTTCTTGAATAGCATGAGTGAATTTGTTTGTACGGAAATATGTAGGTGGTGATTCCTTGGTATGCAAAACCTGGAATATGGCCCCAACTTGTGAGTTGCTGTCCAAGTTTGCCCGCAGCATTGCATCTTGAATCTGCAAATTCAAGTCCAAGTTGGTTAAAAACTCTAACATTTTTTTTTTTTAGGCGCTTACAAATCCGTCAAAAATAACGTTTGACATCATGATGATGTCATTTAGTAGCGTTTTAAAAACGCCACCTTTTACTCTTTTTTTTGGGGGGGGGGTTGGGGGTTTGGGTTGGGGGGTTTGTGAAGAAAAGAAAAGAAAAAGAAGCATTTTTAGCTAATCCATGAAAGATATATCCAATGCATGTACTGTGAAGCATCAAACTAAACGCCACTGCAGTTTCAGCAATATACCTGATTTGTTGCAAAAACAGGACACCAGCCTTCTGCCACAAGGCACTGCTTGGTCACATCAATGCTGAGCATATTTAAAGTGTGGTAAATGGATTTCTCCTTCTTCACCTTTATAAGTAGGAGAAAAAAAAAATTCAATGATTGATCCACAAACTTAGCAAAGAGTCCATCCCTCCCCAAAAGACAAACAAACAAATGTGAACATAAGGATTAACAGCAGTACGTACGGATTAATACTAAGTAAAGGCATTGGTACCAACCAGAAGATTCCAGCATTCGAATTGCTGGCTAATAATGTGTAACAGATTGCTCCGGTGCAGAAGTCCAACATCTATGGTAGTCTTCAGCTCTGCAAGTTTTCCAGATACCTAGATATCATAATGGCCATAAATCAGATTGCACTGTGACTGCAATCAATTATTTGCCTAAAATCAAACGGAATGACATATTACTGAACCCAGTTGGCCTATGTCACCATAACTAAGGTGCATTCCATATGTCAAAACAACCACAGTTATTAAAATTGCAATAAAATTTATTCACTGTAGGAAAATTATCATATATATAACCATGTGACTGACTTCGCCAAGACTTTCTTCATCTTTTAACATTTCTGTTGAGATGATTCTAATTAAATGATTTTATCCCCGACTACCAATTAACAAGCTTACTTTACCAAATAAAATTTGGAAGACATCACGTATTTGGTTATGATTGTAGGACTTGGTTTGTGTCATATTACCCATGGAAGATTATTGTTCTCTATGTGCTCAACTCTTTACCCTTAGATTAGAAACATGAAATAATTTGCAGTGCCTCATGCAATACACAAGAAGAGAAAAGTTAAAGTGGAAATATTTGTAAATTGCCTGGTTTCAAGCTTACTAGTGTTACTGTCAAGCAGGATAGTTTGGTAATTTTAAGATTTATTGACATGGGCTGTAGGGGTCGCCCATGAGTCATCTAGTAGGTCAACATCTCATGGGTCAAGTTCTTTAGTTGGTTTTTGTTTATGTTTCTTATCTGGTTTTAGATGGGTTTTGGAAATCAAAATTTTGGTAGTTTCTTATTTTGGAATCCTAGTTAATAAATGAAGTCTTTAAAGTCTATATAAAGTCATTAATGCTTCTAATTTAATACACTTATAGAGAATTTTCCAAGCTTTTGAAGCTTGTTCATGGATTGTGTGATGCAATCAAACCCTAGGTGTGATGCCTAAAATCTCTAAGCGTGATTTCTAGAATTGTCTTTTTCTTCTTTCTTTCTTCTTTATTTCCTGTATAAATTCAGCAGCATAGTTACTGTTCCTGAATCACTGTTCACACCCTCGTAACAGTCCCATAACAGCCCCAAAATTCATATCTTTGACTGGTAAAACCATATCCTTTTGGTGCTCCTTTTGAAACCCTAAATTTCGCTACTTGTCCTGCTTCAGTGTTATTAAGAATAGCTGAAGCCTAATTGATGCAAGTCATAGTTTATATATTCAGACCATCTAAATTTGACCCATGAAGACACTCCACATAAAAAATAGCATAATCATGGAAGAAGAACTGGCCAAAACTCTACTTTCAGACTACAAAACAACTGAGATAATTGCATAGGCTTTCAAGAGCATGTCCAAGACTCAAATCCTCTGCCACAATAGACAGACATAGTACAATGCCACAATGAAAGACGAACCAAACCAAACCAAACGATGAAAGATGAACTTCAAAAAAAATTCCTTTTCTTTTTTGAAAGTAAAAACATATTAAGAACCAAGTAGAAACGCAAATTGGCAAATCCACGTAGATGGAAAAAATATACCACCAAAATATAAAAAAGGAAAAAGAAAAGAAAAAGGGAAAATAAATGCTGACGGAAATTCAAGAAACAAAGAAATGACAAACCAAATAAAGAACCCAGAGAAATACTAGTTACCTGTAAAGATAAAGATTTTTAATTACAGATTCTTCATTTTAAAATCCATACATGAACTTGTCCAAATACATACCTCCGTAATCATTTGATATTGTTTGCCTATGTCATCTGAAAAAGGATAGCGGTTCGCTCCAAAAGCATCACATATTTTCAAAATTTTGCTCTTAGCTCTTTCTCCAGCATAGAAGACAACGAATACATTTTTCTCAACCTGTAAGTTAGTGGTTGTCAGTTCCTCGTTGCATAAGGGAATAACTCTAAAATAATGCCCATGGATTAGGAGACAACATTCTGCAGGAAGGTAAGTATAAATTGATCCATAGAAGTGGATTACGGACAAAAGAAAAATGCAGCACATGGTGGGCAACAGAATTTCGGTTACAACTTCACAGAGAAAGAGAGAAATAGAGCAAAAACGTAAGGTTTCCACCACACAAAATACTTCACATTTCATAGTGACAATCACTCGAAGAAAAAACATCATGTAAAGAAGGAAGGATGCAGTCGCATCCTTTTATGGAGTTTCTTTTTTGAAAAAAAAAAAAAACAGTATTAACCTTTGCTCTTGACACAGGATCAACAACAGGATCTTCAACCACAGCTTGTTTCAAAAACACATTTCCCCTAGTTGCACGAAATAAAATCCTTTCAAAAGCCATTGATTTCTCTCGTGGAACAAGACCACTGACAAATCCCAGTTTTACTTGTTTAGATGGATCTGTTGACATTTCCTACACAGCACAAAATCCAAAAGATAACCTCAACAAATAATTGAAAGTAAATACATATAAACAATAAAAAATTGAAACAGCTAAACTACAAATAGTACTTGCTCCATGAGTAGAGGACTGTCAATAGATCCTTCACCAAGTTGACGTGCTTCATGTTCTCTCTGCTGTGCCATAGCATTGCTTTGAGCTGAATGGAAAAATTCACCAGCCTGAAATGAGGAAATTGAACTCACTTCGTATCCCAGGTTAAAAGATCAAGGAGGATTGAAGAATTGAACATATTTCAACACTGATTGACATAATAAACGCAGAAAGAATAGCTCAATAAATATGTCTATATTAGCCATCCAACCGAATGATTAAAGTAGCAAAAATAGGCATACCTTCTGCAGAACAAGCTTATATTCTAAAAGTTCATTATAAGCACATTGTAACTTCTCACTGTTTGCATTCATTTCCATCAACTCAGCTTCAAGTTCTCCAAGTTTTACCTAGCCACACCCACCAGAAAATTGTTGAGCTGTAAAATATATAAACAAAAAAAGAAAAGAAAAAAGAAGAAGCTATAAAACCAAGTTACCAAAGCTTAACATACCTCCACATCATCCAAATTAATGTTAGTACCACTGGTAGATCTTAATGAGGGCAATAAACCTCCCTTCATAATTTGCTCCTTGAAAAAACGTAGCTTCCGTGCCATTTCACTACATCTTTTGATCTGTTTAAAGAAATTTACACACATCAAAATTATATGGGTTGTAAATGGGTTTTTATTTAATGAACAATGTCCAAGCATAATTTCAAGGATTATAGAAAATAATGGAAACCACATGTAGCTTGTCAAACTAAAAAGACACAAGTACACATGGCCAAAATAAAAGTTTGTATTATAACAGTAAAGGGAGGTGTTGATATAGAGCATTGACAAAGGAAGAACAAATAATGATTTTACATTGTTATTCTACAAAAGGCTCAAAATATAATTGAGACGCACATAATGAATCAAAAGTATCATGCCACCTGGAAACCAAATGAAATTAAAACTAGCCCAGACAAAACCAACGGAGTGTGCATGGTCTTACAACGAAACAAATACATGAGAGCATGCATGTGCATGAAAGCATCATGGCAAAAGTAAAGTGGTAGACAACTGCCTCCTTGACCATAAGCACTTTTTGGAATGTCAAGTAAGCGCTTGCGTGACCTAATATACTAGAGTAATATACTCAAGATTTTTCATTTTGCACAAGTGTATAATAAAAAACAAAAAGAAATATTGTTGATGTTTCAACCTTGTACAAGGAAAAAAGCATTTAATACGCTGTAGATGGAAAGGTTTTGCCATTAACATAAAGACATACTTTGGCACTTCAAAGAGAATTCCCAAAAGCTAGTTTTCTTCTCCATTACAAGCTTTTAGTAGAGTACATGTCATCCTGCAAGGACACTTCTATGAAAGCTTGAATTTACATCACAAGGACACTTCTATAAAGAAGCCATGACCACACCAAATGACATTCAGAACATTTGCTGGACATGCCCGAGCAAGATATCTTATTAAATTGTTTTTGTATGTATTAAAAATTATATACATATTATTTATCAAAAATAAAAAATAAAAAATTATATACATGATATTACAACTCCTTTTAAATGAAATCATATATTAATGACCAAAATCATAAAATAGTAGCGTTACACGATGCCTTAGAGAAAATTGGGCCCATTAACTTTAAGGCTATGCCATCCTAAGGTTATAATTGCTTCCTCACTATATTTGTCGTTTTATGGTTCTGTCGCCCCAGAATATATGTGCCGTGTTGAATCCACATTCTATAGGTTCTGAGCCATTCACTGTGGTTCTGAACATACTCCATTAATAAGCTCTGAAGATGTTCATTTTGCTTCCCACTATCTTAAGATTACATAACACATCAAGATACATAAACATACTCATACTGTTGCCAGACCATTTCTTTAGTGAATAGCAACTAACCAATCAACAAACAGAGACTTTATCTCTTAGTGATAAACAAGCTGATAGATCTACAAAGTCAACATGGATACTGTACAAAAATCAAACCTATGGACCTGGAAGAGCCGAAACCAGTTCTAGGGGCCACCACTTAACAGGTTTTAAAACTTCGAGTGTTTGGACAAAGCATTTCAAAAGTGCAGGCACACCTTTGTCTGAGGAAGGGGAAAAAATGGAAAAAAAACACACACACACACACAACAACAACAACAGATAACTTAATGGAATTGGGCATGATCTGGTCCTCTTTTCAGATCACCAAACAATCCCTACGTTAATGTGTAAAGCCACAAAAGCAGAGATTTACATAATGATGTACCTCAGTCCAACAATAATAAGGATGGAACCAAAATGTACCTGAGTAGCATATGTCCGCTGGAATGGGCTCTTTTCAGCATTAAGCTGGGGAACATAAGACACAGCAAAGATATTAACATCAAGGTTTGAAAGTAGAAAATGTTGACGTTCAAGAACAATTCAAAGATTCAGACATTAGATTATCATCAACTAAGGTATACATCCATAATTTGTCATTCAAAACCATCTAAAACATGCTCATCTTATAGCTATAGTAAGCAAATGATGAGAACTTCTACAAAGTGAAACCATTTGTAATACAGTTCTTCACCAATTATTATAAATTAAGAAGCAACAACTGCAAGTACAAAGAAAAGATGAAGGCTAAAAAACAACTTGAGAATTTGGTTCACACAGCCTGTACATGCCATAGCATTCATGAAAATTCGCATAAAATCTAGCACAATACAAGTCAGCATGCTGGTGCGAGATGCAACGATTGCAACTCATGGACTGAATCTTTTGCACTGCACACATCTCCCCATATATCCAAACTTTTTTCACATTTTTCAGACAAACATTCATGAACAAAATCATTGAATAGTCATCGAAGCTGCAGCATTTGTCAACCAAATCACTACGGCCATCATCATGGCCCTATTAATATTTTTAAGAGCATCTCCAATTCTTCATCAAATTCAAATTTTATGAAAAACAAAAGGGGCTAAAAGTGTGATCCAACCATTTCATCAGATCTGTATCAAATCAAGTAAGAGACCTTTTTTTTTACTAAATCAAGGATGAACCAAATCCTTCACCAAATTTCCAACAGTCTTATTTTTACTCAAATTTGATGAAATTTTAAAAGGAGTAAGAATTAAAGATGGTTCATTCATAAAAACATAAAATAAAATAAACAAAATTGGTTAAAACAATTTTCAAGGACAAGTTTGGAATCTTTCAAAAAAGGTTTGATGAAGAAGGAAAAAAAAAAAAAAAAAAAAACAGAGAGTAAGGAATTTTTACTCGGATTAGATGAATAAGAAGAGTAAGGATTGGAGAAAAAAATGTCATTTTCGTTACCAAAATTATATGTATATAATCCAGAAAAAAAATTGAAAACAAACAAAAGAAAAAGAAGTAAAAATCAAAAAACAAAATGTGCCAATAAAAAATTAGGATAGAACAAGAATTCAGTGGAGAATCAATTTATGTACCAACCAAAAACCTCCAATCTATCATAAAAAAATTAAAAAAATAAAATAAAATTGAAAGAGTCTAGAAATAAAGATAAATTCAAGCAACAGGCTAACAAAGATCAGACGCACATATATATAGATAGAACTTACGTCTTTGAATTGGAAGAGGCCAAGGTCTCCGAGATAGGAAATGGTTCGGTGAGACGATTCAATAGGGATGATAAGCTGAGCCAACTGCATTGGCTCCGACCGGAACAGATCCATTGTCGGAAAACATCCTCCATTCTCTCCCATCTTCTTCAACGATAATGATTATCACAACAATTACGATTACAATTACAATGAATGTGAACGTGTTTTTGCATAGATTGATTGATTCATATATACATATCGCGCAATGCTTTGATTTGATTTGATCACTGCAATGTGATGAAGCCGGAGAGAATTAATCGGAGGAAGACGACGGTGCGAGCGAATCTGAGGTGGTGAGAGGACAATGAGAGAGGTTTGTTTTAGTTGGGGGCCCTCTCAGGATTTGATTTTGGGGATGTACGGGTGAGTGATCTTTCGCTGCGTTTTCGTAATAGTTCGTCGTGTTGTCCTCTTTACGCAAGCCTACTGCGATCGCCTACCAAACTCTCCCCGTTGCTTGTTAAAGTTGCGTTTGCTAAAATTCTTGTTTGGGATTTATTTTTAAAAACGTTTGGTTATTTTAATATCAGATAGAAATCATTAAAAAAATCTCATCATTATTATCAGAAAAAAAAAAATCTCATTATTAATAGTTTTAATGGGTTGAAAAATGTAAAAAATAAAAGAAAAAAAAGAAAAACATAAGAATTAACCATCACATCAAAAGAAGAGCCAACTCATTAGTGCTCCCTAGTGCTTCCTTTTTAGTGCTCTCAAGCATTAATCTTTTAATATTTTAGAAGATAGAAATATAATTATCATGTGTCAATAATAATTTTGAAAAATTCTATGGGCTAAAAAAAATATGTTGGCTATTTTGACACTTCAAAATATAGATATGTAATTGTCGCGTGTAAGCAAAGATCTGAAAAGTTTTTACAGGATTTATAAGTCTATTTACTAATTAGGTGATTGTGATTAGGATTTTTCAACTTCAATAAAGAGAACTTTACTGATTGTGTTTTAGTAAGAACCAATGCAATATAACTTAAATTCGAAATAAAATATGAGGGAGAGATTGGACAGAAAGTGTAATTGATTAATTGAATAATACAATTACAAAATGTTACCTTTAGTAATGGCAATTTCGAATGTTGGATTATGGATATATAAGAGAATTTTAATCTATTTCTATAAAAAGTTAAGTGCAGTGTTGAAATTTAAAGATAAATAAAATGAAAAAGACGTAAGGTCTGGATTTGTTTGAAGGCCTTCTTTTATCTTTGCTTTCCTCTATTTATACTTTTTTCTTGGCCTTTGAAGCAGTTGAGCTGCTTTTCCTCACCATGACCTCCTTCCTTGTAGCTATTTCTTAGGGTCACTTCTTCTCTTTGGGTGTGTATAACCGCTGATAACTGCTATTTTGGTAACTTTCTTCCCTTGTGCTTTTCACGTGTTGAATAATTGTATTTTAGTTGCTAGAACTCACATCTGTTGCTCGCATGAGTTGCTTTAAAAGTGAGATTCTTTAATGGCTTGCACGCTTGAATATTTACCCTTGCTTGACATGTATCACTTACTAACTGGATGATTTAATTATGACGCCAACAGTCTCGCATGGCTGTGAGACTTACATGGTGTTGATCTTATACCTCATTTGGTAGAAATTTAGAGTAATTACCAACTAGTTTCATTATGTAATCTTAAATACCAGTAAATCCTATTGACTTATTTGCAAATCATCTACCATCTATTAAATGGGATTTGAGTTAAGAAAATTCTATCCACACCGCAACTGACCACCACTTGTGGTTTCGAAAAAATTGATAATAGATGTGGATTGAGTTAGCGGATTGAGCCTTATTGTTTTGGACTTATTTTCCTAATTATTTTCTTTACTTCGTCTTTTCGAAGAGAGAGATATCAATTGGAGGAGAGAAAGCTTCTGTTTTTTTAAAAAGTGAAAAGCATTTTACGTTTAATTACATAAATAATATGTACATATATTTTGTGCAGTCTTATCAGGTTGAAACTTGTATGTCTAGGATCTGACCGGAACTTAACTTTTTTGAATTTGTTAGACCCACCCATTTTACTGAAATCGCACATTTGAGATCGGCCTAGGTGAGTTGTTGAATGTTTATCTAGCCCTGAAACAAATATTTGCTCTATCTTCGAATTCACGGAAAACCCTTCATACATGAAAAGTTTAAGCAAGAACTCATGCAGATTTAGCCCAACCAAGAATATGTATATATTTATTTTAAATTTGTTTCCAAATACTGCCTACTTAAGCTAATTTTGCACACAAAGAAAATGCTACATGTTATAATTTTTTTGGCGTTTGTTTTTTGGTCACAGCTTAATTTTTTTTTATCGGGAAGAAAAGTTTCATTACAAAATCGATTAAAAAAAGAAATTTGATCAATCTAGTACAACGGTATCACCAAATTTCAAAGAGAGATAAAAATCTTCATAGAAGGAAGGATCCAAACCTCTATATAGAAGGAGAAAAGGCTCTTACAAGGGAGGGAAATAAATCCCCACACAAAAAGATTACGGCATTAACAAATTAAAAATTAAAAACATAAAATAGAAGTGGAAAAAGAAAAAAAAAAAGAAGATCTAAGTCAATACCAAACTCATCTAAAACTCTATAGTGGTCGCTTAGCGTAAAACAAACGCGTTATTCAGTATGACTTTCGTACTGTGAAAAGATGTGTAACTAGATCATAAAAGTTTTGGGCTCAAGCGTGGAAAAAGGTAAGGCGGTGATGGCCAAATTGGTGAGGCAAACATCATATCTGAAGGAGGATTGGAAATAGGAAGAGGAGAGGAAGATCGGAGAAGCGGGGAAACCACCACTATTTGTCTCCCTCTCCATTGGAGGAAAATCTAAAGAGAAAAGAAAGGGAATTTGAGCTTCTCTTGGTCACATCTTAATTACATAAGTGATTATATTAGATTTTCATTTAAAACATATTTGTTACTCTCATGGATGGGGTAATATAAGATGGTATAAAAAATATTAGGATAAATTATAAATATACTTTTTAAGGTTTGTTTAAATATGATTTATCTTATATAGTTTTGAAAATTAGATCTCATCCCTTAAAATTTCTAATTTCATATCAAATGACTCATTTTATTAATAAATAATCAAATCAATTAGTAGTTCTTAATGATGTTAAAAATTTATTTTACTTAATAATTTAGGTAATTTTATCATTGTATAGGAGAACAATTAAGAATTTTTTATTTTTTCAGTTAATTCTGTTAAATAAATGATTCTGACAAGGGGTATTTGTAATTTTTCAAACCATAAAGGGATTATATTTTAAGAAAACTTTAAGAGGTGTGTTTCTAATTTACCCAAAATATAGTAATGTGTGGTATAAATATCGCATCATACTACAACAAAAGTTTTGTAGCTATTTCGAGCAATGTCATCATGAGATGGGGGTGTTTGGTGGAGCTTTTTTAAGCCAACTTATGGCTTCTGGCTTTTAAAAAGTTATTTTGGACTGTTTGGTTAAACTTATTTTAAACAGCTTCTGATTCTAACAACTTATTTTAAGTCAAAAAAGCTGATTCTGAGAAGCTGCTCACCCCTTACTTCTGATTATCAGCTTCTGCTGTGGACATGTTAATTCACGATTATACTCTTAGATTTTTTTATTTTTTACTTTTTTAAAAATAGAAAAAGACCCAAATGGACTATTAAATATTATTATTATTTTTTATGAAAAATGTAGACAAATAGTGAATAATAAAAAATAAAAATTAATTGAAAAAACTATTTCACAGCTTATTTAACAAGCACTACTCAGCAACTTAAATCTATAATCCAACAGCTATACCAAACAGATTAACAGCTTCTGATTAAAGTCATAAACTATAATCTGTTAAGCTATAATCTATAATCTGTTTTAACAGCTACACCAAACAGCACCGATATACGGTGGTTGATCTATATTCAGCAATGGGTCGTTATTGGGTTGCAGATGGAGATGAATTTCAATACCCATTAAATCCAAATTTGCGTTACTCACATGCCACCGTTAATACCATGAGAGCTGACTGGGAATTTCGCATAACTCGAGCAAACATTCTCGTTGAGCTATGTCGTGAAGTTAATATTAAATTTCCTCGCCGGTTAGCCATGCGTATGCCAACTGACACTCCACAGTTGTTGCAAAGGGTATTGCATCGTATCTGCGACGAAGTTAATCGCATGACCCAATGTTTGCAAAGGTCCGGACTAATGACGACCGCAAATAAGCGTGCAGAAGATGGGTTAATGGATGATGTACACCAGTACTTCGCCTGGAGCATGGATGTTATGTATGAATCTGATATTGAGATATCAGATGATGATGATAATGAATGAAATTGTTTGGATGAATGGCCAAACCATTTATGTTGTAATGGATTTGTAATACTTATCCACAACTTATCAATGAAGGGAGATAGGAGTATTGTTTTTGAATAGTTCTTGTAATTCTACAAATAACAAATACCTTTGCTTTCTCTCCATTATTGTTATTTTGAAGAACGCTACTTGAACTAGACTTTCATGATTTCATGCATTATTGATGTGGAATATAATGATGATACTTAATGAACTTGGTTACATATATGACCAAACGTTTTCATTCAGTATAATGGCTTTGCAATGCTTATACATGAGTTATCAATAGGAAGAGAAATTTGTAACGAATCTTGACATGTGTACTTATAAATGTAATGATTTCATAAACTTCAGGTTCATATAACAAATAGTTGAAATACACATTTAAGCTAGATGAACAATAAATATATAATTCTACATTTTGTTTGGTTATAATAGAAAATACATGAAAAAAGAAAGTGAATGCAATCATACAGAAAAGTGAAAGAAAAGGGAAAAAAAAATTATGTGTTTGTTTAGATAGAGTCCTATAAAATAATAGAACTAGTTTGTTAGATAGGCTAACAATTTTTTACAAAATATATATGAAATTTTATTTTTTCTCACAAATTTATTTTGTTTCCTTTTTACTCATATTTGTCCCCACAACTATCCATTATGCAATGTTTATATTTTTTTCCCAAATAATTTTTGTATAAAATTTTTCATCTGTTCATTTCTTTTTCTTTTTTTTTTTCAATTCACTTCCTACTATTTTTATTTTCTATTATTGGTTTCTTTCCAAACAAATGAAACCTAAATATAACTTAAAATCCTATCAATTCTTATTCTTTTCTTTCTGTTTTCCTTTTCATTTTTATTTCGCTCATCAAATCTAAGCAAACACTGCCTTGTTGTTTGTTTAGCACATGAGCACTTCCAATGTCATCTGTTCAATAAGAAAAGCTAATACAATTAAATGGCCTAAATGTGAGAACATAAGAACTTTAGTAATTAAATAGTGGACATGAGGCTAGACGAAAAAGAACTTTATGAAAGAAAGTATACACAGAACCTTAACAATTTAAGCAGAAATATTACTTGATGAATATATTGCCATGGTCTCACTGGGCAAACCTTTTCAAATGA